AAGGAAATGACGACTTCAGGAATTATCAAAGAAGGAATGATGACATACATGATGCTGACCACTCCTTATACCTCCCCCACTGTGTTACAGACATATCTTATCTGCTGAACATCACACCACATCATGAGAAGAGATGTTGAAGAAACTGAGGTGTGCATCCAAACGCAGCATGACCTGGGCAAGGCTGCTTGGGCTGTGCAGAGAGCGCGGGCAGCCTGTGGGTTTGTCCCTTCAGCCTCGCCTGCGGCGGATGCTTCCCTCTCAGCACAGGGCGCTCTCCTCCACAGAGCATCTCCTGCCCTCCCCGCTCCGTCCTTCATGCTGCAAACCTGCCCTGTCTCCACCGCCTTTGTCCGAGCTGTGAAAGACGGCTGTGGCTTAAGCACTAAACTCGCGATTCGCAAGGTGAACCAGAAAGCACGTCCTGCGGAGCAGCAAGCCCACTGCTGAGTGCACGTAACAGCCACCAAAGGCAGTCAGCTGAAATGCAGAAGGTGCTGGCTGAGCCTGCCACTCTCTTTGGGCCTGGTTTTGGGGTGGAAATGCAATAAAATCCTTAAATGGAGTAAAATTACAGCTCCCAATGCAAGCTGTGCGTGTCAGGATAACTGTTCCCTATTATGAGGCTGTGAAATTTCAAATTCCACATCTACCATGTAATAAGTATTTGGAAGCATTTACCACAAAGAAGCTTTCACCTCATTGTGTATGTGAGGTAAGCAAAGGGAGCTTACTTTTCATAGCTCACTATTACAGCTGTTGGATTTTAAATTCCTAACAAGTAGGAAAAATGTCATTTTGGATTCAAATGAATATGGTCTGTTGATAGGAATATTTTAGAAGCAAAAGCATCAACAATTTGGAAAATACAACTATTTGAAATACTAGCATACAATTCACAGTCTGGCAAGATTTCCCAGGTTTGAACAGTATTATTTCTCTATTTTCAGTTTTTACAAACTACAGGTATTCATGGGTGTCTGGTGTACACACAGTGAGATACGAGAGAAGAGAGATGCTCTCTTCAAGGTACACAGATGGGAGGAAATATCTGATCAGCTCCTAGCTCCCTGCTTAGCTTTTCATTTAAGAGTTCTTCTCTATATAAGCAGTAACTATAGCATCAGCTGCAAAATTTAGTGTTTTGGTCTGATGTGAAGAACTTAGGATCATTATGGAGGAGCGGAACATCGGATTGTACGTGGGAACAGAGGAATCTCATGCACTACAACATTGGCTTATACCCCCTCTCTATGGATGAGAGGGAGAACAGGTAAGAAAGAACTCCAGGAAATATACTTTAGTGTTGGACTCTTCCACAGCTAAGGAGCAGAGATACAAAGGATAAAGACTATCTTGACCTCTGGATGGCCAAGCCGAAACGTGAGGGAGAGGTGCAGCCCTGCGGGACACGCATCACCCACGCGGTACAAACCGCTCCTTGCGCCGGCAGCACGGCTGGCCGCAGGCTGCCCTCCCCAGGCTCTGCTGCGGCTGGGCTGAGGCTGCAGCCGCCCAGCGCACGTCTCTGGGCACGCAAACTCTGCTCCACAGACCACGACCTTGGCAGCTGCCGGGGATGAGCAAACAGCCCAGCGAAGAAGCACTGCAACCAGAGCATCCACAGCATCCTGAGCAGCTCTGGCACGGAGAGCCGGGGCCTGGGATCACACCGCGCAGACACATCTGCTCACAGCACTGGGCACAGGACAGCTATTTTTATTCAGTGCTGTTCGTAGGAAACCTGAAAATGTGGTACTGTGTCTTGGCTGTGTTTGCCTCCCCGTTTTCCGTACAGCAGGTGGCAGCATGTGAACTGACGTACAGGAACAGCTTTCAGTGGATGAAGGATTTATTTTTTCTACGTGAACAGTTTACTCAAAGGAAACATTAGTTTCAACCATTCATAGTGTTCTGAAATATATTATGAACAAAATGGCTATCTACGTGATATAATTCGCATATTACATTTCAATATTTAAAACAATGCTTGCAAATAACATATAATACAATTAAATTCTTCCATGATCTTAGAAATTGATATCTATTTCTCTCTCAATATTTCAGTTGTGTTGCACATTTGGCCAGCCATATTACCCACAGTTAAAATTCTGATAAGAAGAGGTGGAATAATATAAAACTCTCCCAGATGCTCTGTTTTCCCTATATTACCCATAAACCTGCAATTCATCTGGGATAAAATTTCAGTTTAATCTATTTATTGTTAGGCAAAGGAAGCTTTTTGAATCTGTTTCTGTTTTATTAAAGCATCAGAGCTCGTTATCTCTGGTTACAAGAGTTAGATGAACATTCCTCATTGGGATAAATATTAAAAAGAAAAATCCAACATTTCCAAGAGGTTCTAAAGGGAATGTTAAATAGTTATTAATAATAGTATTGTTAATTTAAAAAGTAAAATATTATTTAAATCTCCCAATATGATTTTTGTCTCTGGCAATGTATTTCACGTTGGGTATCCTACCACAGTTAAAAATTTGCAGTTTAAGTGTTCGATCTGGGGTAATTCCTTTATATTATTCAAGAAATAGAAATTTTCATGCCGCATAAACATAGATGGTCCTGACAATATTCTTCTAACAATGTAAGCCATTAAGGGCTCAGTTGAAAACTCTGGAATTATATTAATTCCAGGGGAGGATATTCATGTTTTGTTCTTAATTTTTGGTAGGTTACAAAACTGATGGGAGAGAGCCTCTCTACTGCCCATTCCTGTTTAACTCCATGAAGTTGCAAAGCTCTCATTGACTTCTGCTTTGAGAGGAATACAGAATCCCCTATGTGATCTAAATATTTCTAAAGAACTAGGTGGTTGGACATTAATTCTATGCCTCCTAACATTTTCTGTTAATTTCGTCTTCGTGACAAAACACCTGCCACAGTAGGGACCCGACATTAGGGTTATGGGCCTGAACTGACTGATGAAATCAAAGTTTTGCTGTCTAGGCAACAATAGCAAAAGCAGAAATTGGTAATGTGTACTCGAGGGAGAACAGACATGCTATTCTTCTTCAACTGATGTACTTGAAACATGGTGACGAGTACTTTACGGGTATTTAGAACACAAAAATGGTTCGAGTCAAGATCTGTAAATTGGACCCTGTCCATAATACGTGAATACCAGAATAAATCAAATAGCACTTACCTTAACTTTCCCTGCATTTTCTTCCTCTTCCTTTTTTTCTTCAAATTCAAAGGCAACAGTCATGCGTTGCTGTCTTTGCTCCTCCCATAAAGTAGGGTTAAAACTATCACTGTCTGACTGGAAATCTACAGTTAAATTGCAAACAGTAATGCACAAGAACAAGTAATTAGTGCACTCAGCAGAAGACTGGAAATGATCTAAAAAGACAAGTTCAAGTTCTTAGTTGATCCTGTAATCTTGGGTTATTGTTCTAAAACTGTTGAGAAGGGCAGCAGGAGTAGTAACTGATATACCATTACAAGTAAGTGTTTAATATTGAAACTGAAATGAGAGTGATGGGTTTCGGGGCAGATCTGGTACAGAGGGGGAGTACGAAAACTCTCTAACTTAACATAGCTATGTGAGGAGCCAAATCCTCAACTCTGTCAGGCTCAGAGCTCTGAACATAATGTGTCTAGGAGCTGGCCCACTGTGCAGCTCTCTCAGATGGGTCCAGAGTCTCTGCAGGTTGAGCTGGCTCCGGCCAACTGCCTGTCCGCATGGCAGCAAGGCATATCCTAGAATTTCTGTCCCATGCACACTCAATTCCCAGGTTCAAATTGTTTATACAAAGCCATTCTTCTGAAAATAATGAAATGTTTAAGAAAATGTAAATCTGATGGTCTGAGAATAATGGATTTGTAAACCAGATTCCTTTGTACATGACAAAACACAGGCTGTTACGTGTGCACCACTGGCTTTACGAGTCAGAAGAGACACTCGTGCACAGAACCACGTCTGAAACCCGTTCCTCTCCTTCCTTTTGTTTTTTTCTCCACTATCTAAACAAGCACTGTTCCTGCCTCTGTAGGAACTGCTGATGGTGTTTTACCTTCATCGCTGCGGGGCTGCTGGGGAAACATGTAGTTAGTCAGTACTCTCTGCTTTGTTTCTGGGTGAGCCTCAGTTTGCAGTGGAATGAGAGCCTTGGACTGCACAGGAAAGGCAAAACAAAGAACTGTTAACTTAGAGCATGTGTGTTGACATGGGATTTTAGCATTTGATAAATAGAAAATAAGAGATTAACTAAAATTCTGTATGAAAATAAACCTCTATGGACAAAAAAAAAGTATTAATCTGGTGGAAATCCCTCCTCTCCCATTCCTCACTTCTATAATTCCTGCAATTCCTACCAGGATCAACAGAACACTAAGTATGAGAAATATTGACTGCATGTTCAGAGCAATACCAGTGAGGAAGCTAAAGGATCAGCCAAACAGAGCTGCAACTACACAGTTAAAACACCCACATTATGGCTGTGATCGATTTTAAACTAGAGCCAACGATGAGTAGATTCATGATAGGTCTTAGTTCCTCTGAGGGTAAACCTGGTGCAAGATACTGGAGAATTTACATGGAGGCATTCTGAATATTCAGATGTTACTTCTGTTTTTACTTCAATTGATAATTTTTTATTACCACTTTGCTCTAATGTAGCATCTAGGAGTGACTGTCATAGTTCTTAGAATAGAAATTAATCTATGCTATACTGTAGAAAAGTCAAAATGCTGAAAAAATATTGTATATTTAAAAGGAAGAGTATGTTCTGTAGCTGGCCTAAGGAGTCATGCAATGTCACTTTTTTAATGGAAGTTAGAGTAAAAAAACCCAAGGATCCTACTTTAACACATTAAAATTTACTCATCATTTTCTGTTACTCCTCCCACTTAGTCTCTCCTCCCTTCAGCTTTAAAACTTCTTCTGAGCTATAGAAGTAAAAACTGCATTTAAGGAGCCGTGCAATAAGCAAGTGCCAATGTAAATCTATTGACTGCATTGCATTGGGCTTTGCTATGATTTGAGGGCAGGGCTGAATGGGACACACTGGCCAGGAATCCGCAGGAATTTTAGCTGACATCTTGACAAAGAAACGACCGCATCTGCTTGGCCGTGGACGGGCCCGGGCTCTGCTCTGAGCAGTGCTCAACCAGCAGTGCTCAGCACAGGCGTACGCACACGGTCTCCCACAAAGAGGCAGCTGCAGGACCTGAGTCCCTGCGGCTTTTTCATACCGATAAAAGGATGGATTAATTTCCAGTAGCACGATAATTGGCCCCTGAAGAATCATCCTCATCAGCTTCAGTTAAAGAGGTATAATATCTGACCATGGGCGTTATTGCAAAGTGAGAAAGATGAGACTACGAGAATTTACTGAGACTATTAAAAACTGTGAGGTATGTCGAACATTTCTAACATTGTACAAATTGAGTTTTTCTCCATTTAGAGTTAAATTATGGAAGTGCAAAATTATTCTATCCACCAATCCTGGAAAGGATCAAGACTTACTTTAGTGCCCAGATGCTGGCTGAACTGTTAACATTTCTCAGTGTTCATGTTACATAATTTGTTTTAAAATAGAATTCTAAATAATATATAATGGTGAAACCAAATGGCTTGGAACAAAGAAAGGCATACTTAAACTTAGAAGGAACATAAATGACAGTTTTCTCCAAAACAAGACTAAGAGTTCTTGCGTATCCTTTGCATGTTTAAACTCGCACTGACTTTAATGGAGTTTAAAATATGCAGGAATGGAAGCATGGACAGGAAAAGGGAAAAGGAAGATGATAAGAACAGAGGCATAGATGGAGTAAAGGATGGGACAAACTAATAATATGATAACAAAGTCTTACCTCTTGAATTTCTATTTACAGAATATTCTCTTGATACTTTTGGCCTTTATTTACTACTTTTGTAAGGATATAGAAGCTTAGCTAGATGCAAGTAATAAATCCTGCAAAGGTGATTTTTCCAAGTTAATAAATGATGGCCAGAAGAATCTATACTTTGATATGAAAGTATAAAGCTGGACTGGGAGCAAACACTTCTAAAATTCTACTACAATCGTGTATTAAATTATAGGTTTCATTTACGGCCCTTGCTAAGATTCCTAGTTACTAAAGAAAATATGAATATTGAAAGTCATTACCTGGTTGTCAGAAAGCCACAAAGCTGCAAGTTCTTTAAGTTTAGTAAAAGTGAATGGTAAATTCTTCAGTCTGTAAATGATAATATTGGAACAACATGAATCCTTCATTTTCACAAGTTTCTTTGAAAGATTTGTATGTAGCATGTTTACCTTGATCATACTGAAATTGATATGATTTCATATCTTTATTTTCTCTCACTTTTTACTAAAATACAATATTTTATTAAGGGCATTCCACATTAAGAGTGACACGTGGAATCAAAAAATACTGACATCATACTCTGAAGGTACTAAGGAGATACAGATATTTTGCCGTGGCTATAATGTAACCAAAGTTACAGCTTGTAACACAGAAAACAGAAAAATCTTGGTCCCAGGGAGACTTATAGAAAAGACCTAACAGTTTTCAGTGTAGCTAACAGAAATCCTTTTATTTGGAACAGAAATACTCTAAGATTATTGAAAATTCATTTTTGCAGAAATGTTAGGAAAAATGTTAAAATAATAATGTAAGTATTCATAGTGAACCTAAAATTAAAATGAAAAGAGTAAAAAAATTAGTATTTTAATTATACATGTAAACACATTTCCTAAAAGTGATCTGAATGTGGGAGTGGGGAAATGATGACTAGATACTTGTGGAAACTTCATTCATGTTTTTCCCACTAATTCTGAAAATATTATTTTTACTTTTCAGTCTGTACAAACACGAGAGGGCTGTCCTAACCACAGACTGATATGCTCCCATCTTTGCGTTACAGAAAGTTAAAGAGCTGGAGGACTGTAGGAAGAAAGGGACCAACCAAAGCACCGTCTACAAAGACAAAAGCTAAATGTGATTTAAGAAAAAGAAAAGAGGAAAAGCCCTTTTCTGACAGAGTCAGACAGTCCCATCCTGTGGAAAGATACGTTCACTCACACCTCAGGTAAGACCGGCAATCCACTGTCTGGTACTCCACCTGCATGGCATCATCAGGAGAATCCTTTGCCCCTCTACCAGCAAATAACCAGCAATATTCCTATGGTCTTCTTCATAGTAAAAATCTATCTGTATTTCTGGGAGATAAGCACCTCACAAGCTTTTGCACCACTGCCTCTATGCAGCGCTTTGAATCGGTGTAGCCATTATGGAATTACTTTAGCTGTATTTTTGCCACAAAGTCATTACCATTAAAAATTGTGTTACTTCAGAAAGCAGCGTGTACTTACTGCAAGTAACGCATTTTACAGATTTTAGTAAGAATACCTTATACTAAAAATGACTTATCTATGCAATGTATACACATTCATACTGTGCTACAACATAATCTCCAATCAAATGCCTGTATAGATTAGAGTGGTTTTACATGTGTGGGCATGCTTAAACCCAGAATGAATGCCATAAGAAAGTAGGAATGCCTAAACTATCTTAAATTTAGTTTTCATTCCTGTCTTACCACAAAATGAATACCGCAGTGCGAAATAGTGTGACATTCTTTAAAAATTAAGGTTACAAGTTTAAGCTTTAATAGTTAACGTAAGCATTCTTAAATACTGTTTATCCAGATGTTTTATTCAGAGCTTTTTTTTCTGTACAAAAAGAGAAGAACTTTTGCTTTTTAGGCGATACCTTTATTTCTTTACACTTTAGGATTCAGTACGTGTAACGTAAGTTTTAAAACCATACAGAAACCTTTGTCTGCAGAAGGTTACTGGTGATGTTTCCAATGCACTCAAGTTGAGAAGTGTGCATCAAAGGGAGAAGCAAGACTGGTAAGCATGCTTCAGAAATTATGTGTGGCAAGGGGATTTCCAAGCAGGTTTTCCACTTCCATATTCAAACACTCAAGTTGAGAAGTGTGCATCAAAGGGAGAAGCAAGACTGGTAAGCATGCTTCAGAAATTATGAGTGGCAAGATTTCCAAGCTGGTTTTCCATTTCCATATTCAAACAAAACACAGAATTCTTTACTTTTAATTCTTCTTTGCCAATAAGCCTGGAGATCTGTTTTTAAACGTCTGAAAAGGTCTGATTTTAAGATGTTTCAAAAGAAAAAATCTCGAATTAGAGATCAAAGAACGGAGGCACCCAAAATCATTACTGTTTTTTGAAAATTTTTAACCAAGATAAGCCTCAGCCTCTTTTTCTAACTGCAATTTGTTTTTGCCAAGTTTAAGACTGCTTTTTAAATTGTGTATTGTAGGAATATTTCTCTTTCATCTGTACTAACAATGCATAAGCAAACACGCTCACTTTCATGAACAACTGAATTACGCTATTTTGCACTACACCCACTTTCAGAACAAGGCCCATGGTAATTGTCACTTACATTATAGTAGTTTAACCATGAAAGGTAAATACATAAAGGTTTTTCTAGCTTCGTCAGTCAAATTAAGGGTATACTACAGCTACAAAGGATCTCAAATGTATGGATGTAGGTTGATTACTTTCTACATACTATAGGCCAGATCCTATTTGATATAAATCAGCATAACTCTGCTGATTTCAAAGAACTAACTCACATCATCCTCAGTAAAGGATGGGGCCTCCTCTGAAGAGAAAACTGTTTATCAGTAATTGAAAAAAGTGATTAACCTGCACTGCTTCCATTGATCTAATACATGACTGCAATCAGATATCAATACAAAGAAATGTAAAGTTTATGGCTGTGCTATTCAACAGAGAGCTTTTCTTTTAAGCTTAAATGCTGAAACTTCTCACTAGACAATCTGGAAAATTACATATGTAATTGTTATTATAAACCTAGGGGAAAATAATTCACAATACTAGATGAAACTTTAATTGGTGCACAGATAGCTAATTAAGAAGGTGGCCAAATTAAATTAACTTACAATTCAAAGGCAAATATGCTGTACCGAAAATGACTTATTCTTACTATGGATGGTATTTGACTCAGCCAGAATAAATAACCTCTGTGTGAGGCCATTTCCCTACTGGAAGGTGCTGTTTGCCATTGGTAAATGTGAAAGTTTAGGAGTTATTGATAAAAATACTTCTTTTAAGGTAAATCCTGAAGCACCAACTGATTTTTCAGGAAAACAACTATCCACATAGTTCACATATCCAACATAGTTCCAATAGTTTGGAAAAGCATGAAATGCATATGGCCTTTTTACATAGTGTTTAATTTTCACATAGAAAATGTTCTCTTATGAGAAAAAAGGAAAAAATTTCCCCTAAGTTCCTCACATGAATAAAAACGAATTAAACCAAAAGTAGCACACTTCTTGAAATGACACCCCTAAACATTAAACCATTGCCACATGCAGTGTGTTACGCCATTCTGGAATGAGGAGTTTAGAGTAATTCCTCCCATTATTAATGCCAGATTACATCTTTTGCACAATTTTTTAACTTCTTAAGGGCTAAATACTAATAAATGACTAATGAGTATTATTATTCATGGAACACAAGAAAAGCAAAGAAAATATCATTGATACTGTTTAAATATAAAAAATATTAAATGTTGAGTATTTGAGGGGGCTTATGAGGTGAAGGTGGTCTTCACTTTTATTGTAAGCCTACTGACAGACAGAATTTAAACTTTTCTTTCTTGATAATAATTGTTTTTCTCATAGTTTTGTAAAATAACCCACTACTTACTTGTCTGAGGTACTAACTTTTGTTTTTGTTATGCCCTAAGTAAGCAATCTCAGAGTATGGGAAGAGTTTCCACTGATTATTAGTTTGAGTAAGACATACATAAGGGAATACTTTCTAGATTCATCAATGCAAATTCTTATACTTCGATGACATTAAGAAAGAATTTTCAAATAACCCAAACATGAAAAATTAATGTCAAAACATGTTGAAAGTTAATAATAACAAGTAGCATTTCCAGTCAGTTGGTCAGGCCCAGAGAGAGTTGCTATTTGTGACAGTTCTCCAAGGTGACTCTCAGCAAATTGATAATAATACAGTTTTTGGAGTGTGAAAGTTTAAAAGAACACGAGTCATATTAACCCATCAACATACTGTTCACAAAACCACTTGTGGATATACATGGCCAGAAGTTCCTCTTTGGCAATGAGGAATACTGTACAATTGAACACGAGTCATATTAACCCATCAACATACTGTTCACAAAACCACTTGTGGATATACATGGCCAGAAGTAATTACCTCTTTGGCAATGAGGAATACTGTATAATTAATTAACTAAACAGAAAAAGAAAAGGTACACCAGGGAACAGTCTCCTTTTTTTTAATGGATCATGTAGTCTTAGGACTTTTTTTCATCTAACTTCTGTGGGTGAGATTCAGAGCAGTAATTGAGTTCTGACCCCAGGACAGAAGCAGAAGCAGTGCAAATACAAAAAGGTGATGATTCTTTCAGCTCTTCTTTAAGAACAATCTAAAACTAAAAGAAAGGTTACTTACCAGTAACCGATGCTCTTTGAGAAGTGTAGCCCAAATGTACATTCTAACAATTCTACCTCTCAATCACAGGACTCATACCTGGAAGGACTCTGAGGAGAGAGGAGAAGCAGATGGAAGACAAACGTATATGTGGACTACACATTGTGAAGAACACCGGTTACTGGTAAGACATCTTTTTTTCTTTGAATGAATCCCATGTGCACTCTTAACAGTGACTGAATCCAAGCAGCTACACCCAGTGACTCATTATGTGGTGGAGGTCTCGATATCTTTCATGCAAGTAGTTAACTGCACAACTACTTTATCAAATGCTGCACTGTTTCTTGAAGCACTGGAGACAGAGTTATGCCTGGCAAAGGGAAGGATGACTCTCCAGGTAGCTGCATTGCAAGTATCTGGCATCAAAACTTTCCTGACTGCAGAGGGTGAAGCCACCTAAGCTCTGGCCAGATGCACATTAGCCCTCATTAGACGCCACCTTTGCAATCTGATAGCAAGTCAGGATTCAACCCATCATTGTCTTTTATTGTGTAGAGACAACCGAATACTGCATTTCCCAGGGATGAAGAGCCTGCAACAGGATTGGACCTGTAAAGATAAAAGGAGAGAGGACTCCCAACTATGGAGATGAGAAGTATATAGTCTTAGAGTGTATGGCATGGGAGAGAAAAACTGGAGTCTGATTCCCTGGTTAAAACAGAATTCTAACATGAGTATTTGAAGAAAGTCCTGGAACTAAAACAGTTTGCAGTCAATTAAGATCAGCAAGGTCCATCTTATGTAGGTTCTTATCTTACGATGAGGGCCTTCAGAAGACATGGAACAAGAGCGAAAGCCTGTAGTAGCTGAAACCATAGTATTAAAAATGCACTGGGGGGTGACTTCAAACACTGACCCACCTTTGAGCAAAATGTGTCAACTCACAAAATTTGAGATTCCTGTTAGCCTGAGTGGCAAAGAGGTCTATGTGAGGTTTGCCTCCTTCCTGAAAGACATCCAATCAGGATTTTAGACCAAATCTCCCAAAATGTTTCTGACTTTCATACCTAGACAACCTCCAGATAATGCAAAGGAGGGAGAGGTCCTTTTTTCCTCTTTACATGTTACATCACAGTTGTCCACCACTCCATGTGTGTGTGACCATTCAGAGAGCACACTGCAAATTTTCCAAGCACTCTGGCAAGGCAAGTTCAAAGCCACCAATACCCCTGTACTCTACATGCCTTGAGCCAGAGTGCACGCCCCATGCCATGAGGAACATGTCCAGAATGAACGTTTTTGGTGGCAGAAGGGCATCTCAGTAGACACTTGAGTAGCCCAGCTATTAGCAGAGAAAGTCACTGGGAAAAAGGCAATGACGTAAAAGGCTAATGGATACACAAGTGCACACTGGAGGTGAAATTCGACATCTGACAAAGTAGAGCAAGATGACCCTGAGGTATCATTCACTGGGCTAAACCTGCAGTGGACAGATCCCCAATGGAAGGCTGTGTTCCCTTTGTAAAGCTATACATCCATGATAATCGGCAGGGATTGACAGTCATGGTGACAGGGTTTCTTCCCTCTACAAGGAAAAGAACATGCAAAAATGCATGAGCAACACAACACCTGCCGGAACGGACATGAAATCCTCGGTGGTGTCAAGAGGAAAAAGTCATAAAGGACTGGCCAGATAAATTCTGAAAGAATATGTGATCATATGCACAGTCCATCCCCATTTGTTACACAGTACAGGGAGTAACAGCTGTTCTTCAGATCTGTGCAAAGGTTGGGGCTTTTATGCCAAAAAGGCTGCATCAGCAGCGTGTGGTGTGAATGGGTCTGCCTTAGCAGCCCACAGAGATCAGGGCTCAGCAGGTCTTGCAACAGGCTGACAGTGAAAAGGTTGACCCACATCCCAGGACTCTGTCACCATGGGGTGAAGCACGTGCACTGACCCCTTGCCTCTAGAATTGTCTTTTTGCTCTGCTTGCATGTCTGTGTCTCTTCTTCCAATGGCTCGAAGGGGTATCCAGGAAAAGAGCTGATGTGCTCTACCTTCTCTGTCATATCTGAAGCAGGAAGAGTAGAGGGGCAAAACTGTTGCAGTAACTTGGAAAGGTTCCTACCAACAAGCAGAGCCCAAGTACACTCCTTATTAGCATGTACATGTGGACTCATTCAAAGAAAGAATGGATATTGCCTTGATGTTAATATGAATGCACAAATGGGAAAACAGAAAAGTAAGAAAACCATTAAAAATCCAACATTAAGATGGTATCTGAACTTTGTCTAAAGTCTTTGGTGCCAAAACATTGAAACTTTTTAGTTTCATTAAGGTGGAAAGTTCCATAACAAAAGTATTATCACAATGTCTCAGCAGGGCAACATTTAACCTCAGATGGAATTGATATCAAGAAAGGAGGAAAAAATTGCTTCCCAAAACCCTCCAAGAAAAGTACAATTGAGACAATTCAACCAGGTTTAAAGGTTGAAGGTCTATGGTGTGAGACAGTTCCTATCTCTCCTAGTCTAGACTGTGCTCTCCCACTAGTTCTACAACGCTTACAACTTGCTGTATGGTTTTTCAGGCTGACTTGAGAGAACAGCTTCCCACTCCAATAGGCAAAGCTCCTGTTCTCCTGCCCTCCTCACACCTCTTTGGTGCACAGCCACTGTTTACCTTTAGCTGGCTTTGGTGTTTGCCAGACTCCACGGTGAGCAAATGGACTGTGAGAAGTGTCATAAAATGAACACCACAAGAACAATAGCTGCTTCCATTTTCAGTGAGCGACACCAACTCGGTGCCCTGCGCAGTGAGCCCTGAGCAAGCATAGGGGCAGATGCAAGGCTACCAGCCAGCAACAAAGGGGGAGTGGGAAGGACAGCAGCTGACACATCCCACCCCAAGGAACATGACGTCATTGGGATGCTGGTTCCGTAACTACCTTCCTCCACGATGGAAATCCCAAACCTCTCTCATACGTGGGCAGCTGGGGAAAAAGGAAGGTGGGGCAGGACTGCTGTTTTGGTGGCATCCAGCCGTCAGGTCAGCTTGGTTGAGAATCCTTGCCTGCTCTTACCACCACCACTGCCTCCTCTCAGCAGTGAGCCACCTGCTCCTTCCCTCTCTGACCCCAGCAATAGCACTCATAATCAGTAATTACTCATGATGTCATGTGCCTGAAATCAGCAGCCGACTTGGCAGAAAAGTAACTAACTTGGCCAAAAAAGGGGGAAAAACCAAAAGGACTAGTTTTCTGCTTCCTCAGTGCAACCTCATGGCACAATTACAGGTTTGAAAAGGGGGCAGAGTGAGCCAGCTCAGGTTGGTTTCATGTGCCAGGGAAGGCACCCTGCCGTTGCAGCTCCCTGGACTCCCAAGAGGCCCCGAACCAGCGCTGGCCTGTTGCCTCCCCACTCCTGTGCCCACTGTGTGCCTCCTCCTGTGCGCTGTGCAGCAACAAGGTGGAGCAGCCACTGGAAACGGCCATCTGAAAATTCACCATATTTCTGACAGGCTGCTTTCACCTATATACACCTATGCATTCAAGATCCCCAGATGCCTGGACAAATCACGCTAGGACAGGACAGGGTATATGGATGCAGGAACAGTGAAGGGAAGCTGGACTGTCATTGCTGGCAAGAATGCCAGCCTGAGGGAGTCTAAAATGTTGCCTGAAATACAGTTTCAGACTCTAGCTGTACAGATAAAAGCACAAACAAAGACTGCTGTGGTGACATCCTCATGGGAGAGTACTCCCTGTCCCTGGGAAAGCACTGGAATCTGAAACCCAAAATCAAGATTTGATCCTGGGACTTGGACAGTTTCAACACAAACTAGAGTTAAGTTTAACTTTACGTCCTGGTCCATACATAAGGTATTTTATCATACACAACTGCAACGTGGAAAATCATCTAACAGAATTAAGCACATAATTTTAAACAAATACATTACACGGATTTCTACATTACTTCATTTGATATTTTATGGTCAACTAATTTCAACAATGAAAGTGCTGACAGTAAATTAGACACAGCTGTGGAAAGTCCTTCCCCTAATTTTTACTGAATATGGATGATAATTACTGGAAACAAAATGGTATTCACATGCCATTTGTTACACGACTGAGCAAACTTGTATTAAACATACACATGTATAAATTTCAAGGAAAAGTCTTTTCTGATCCTAATGGCAACATGGGATAAGTATCAAGAAAGGCTCATTTTAAGCATTCTGTTTCTCAGAGGAACAGTCATGTGCATAAGAACAGAAGAATCTCTTCCTTTGACAAAACCTTTGCTCTGCTGAAGAAAATAGAAAATTTTCTTTTGATTTCAGTGGAGTCAGATAACATGCTAGTGTGCTTGCATTTAACAGTTTCCTATATAATCAGCTTGTCACAATTTTGTAATCATTAAATATTAAAAAGTTATATACAGTTTTATAGACAAATATCACACTTTCAGATGGAAACAGCAGGAGATAAAAGAAGTAAACAGGTTTTAATCTATGAAAACACAGAGACCCAGATCTTGGCCCCATTCAAGTTTTTCTTTGGATGTCAGTGGAATTAAGACCAAACCATATAGATTAAAAAAAAAAAAAACCAAACCAGGATTTTTTCCTTATAGTTTAAATGAAGTAATTCTAAATTGAATTTTTATATTTTTAAAATGTATTTCATATAAATTTATTTTTAGAAACAACTAAAATAGTAGTTTAAATTTGTCAAAAAATAAATTCTTACAATGGGTTAGTAAAATTATGTGAACTGTACCTGTTATCGCTCAGATTTAACACTCTCAGCTTCTGCATCTGACCAATTTCATCCGGAAGAAACTCTAGCTTGTTAGAGCGCAGAGACATCACTGTTACGTTTTTACAGCTTCCAATCTGTAGGAATGAAAAGAACAAATGGATTTGTTAATTATCCATATCCAAAGAACAGTTAGGATGCCTACCTTGGTAAAATTTATTATCACTAACTTTTCATGTTGGGAGGTGGCCAAATTGTGTTTTTCTATAACCAAGAAAAAGCAGAAAATACAGAATCTGTAGTCACAAAATAACACCCTCCCTTTGTCAGTAACATCAGGGAAATGCCTAGGGCTACTTCCGCTACTCCGAGTGACACTCTCACCTTTACATGAATTTACTAATTTACCAGTTTTACTATTTTACTATTGAGAATGTAAGAAAGATTTGGTCTTCCACTGCATGCAGAAGGAACTGGCTTAGCAGCTATTTTGTCTGAGCAGGGATGAAATCTTGGGCCTACCACAAACCATTTCAACCTGTAATTTAAAAAAAGAATCAGCTTCTCACTTCTCTGGGCAGTTCAGGAAGGAAATTCTCATCCACAGCCAATGTCCTCAGGTTATGAAGGTATCCGATGGTAGAAGGTAAGGACTCCAACTCATTACAGCTGCAGTCAAATTCTTCTAATAAAGATAAACTGAAATTGTAAACAAACTTGTTAGATGCTATACAAGGACTAGGTAACAAAACCTAACAATCTAAAACCTTTGAATGTTTTAAAGCATCACACTACTACTGGCATCATACCCTGAAAGAGGGATCCTTTATTGCAGATTTCCCCAGGAGAAGTCTATAATAATATGATTTTAGGAACTATTAGGGACACTGTTAATCTTATCCAGTAGGCAGTTTAAGAAAGACCACTTAGTTTCCCCACATTATCATTCTTCCTTTTTGTAGTGAGGAAGTATTCCAAGTACTTCAGATAGACAGTGATCAGGGCAATTTATACTAAGCTGAAGAATCAAACCAAAAAGTTTATAATCTTAACATACAAAGACAGACAACAGGTAAAGAAATACTGCTGGTGAGAGCAAAGGAAAGGGAAGCAGAAGTTGCCTCCAGTGTACATTCCAACCGATGCACTTGACATCATTTCTAATACAGATCAGTAGGTGAAAAAAGATGAACTCGGATCCAAACTCAGGTAAGTAATCTCAGCCTGTTGCAGTCAGACATGGTTTTTGTAAAAGCGCTTATCTCTTACATGTTGAGAAAGCTGGCTAAAAAGTGATCTTGAAAGGGTATCTGCATGGCAAGGACCGAAACAAAGCAGACCAAAGTAAAGTAGTCTTCTGACACTCAAGTTCTCTCTCTAAAAAAAATGAAACCATCTCCATTTCTGTCTTGTATCCATTTTCCTAGATCATTGTATTCTGTCAAATCATGAAAAGAAAGAGACCTGACCTTTCCTTCATGTAATCACATTTCCAGGAAAGAGGATGAAATAGAGACAGCTGACAGAAACTCCCCTGTTGAACTGAAGTCCAGGTTAGCCACAGCCCACAGCACCAGAGAGCTGTACGTATAGAGAAAGCACAGCTTCCTAGGGCACAGAATTGGCAGTCAATATATTCCTGTATTTTAATACCCATGAAGAAGTTGTGAAATGAGTTGGAGGTTTTCTGCTGAGTCCTAAACCAAAAGCGACCACATCATAAAAGCCGCCACCTTCTCTGACAGCAGCTGGCACCTATGCAGAATGAAAGCCAAGGCAACGCCAAAAGAGCTGATCCAATGCAGAGCGCTGATAGCCAGCGCTCGAACCTCCCCTCCCACTGCTGCTCTGGTACGAAATGGTCCTCAGAGGCATTTTTTGGCTCTTCAGGACCCTGTCCTAGCCACTCACACAACCCTTGGGACTCTTGAGTGTTTGCTTTTCCCTGAAGGCAGCAGGTGCTACTAAGCAACACTTACTTTGGTGATTAAGAATCAACAATTTGACCTTTGCTAATGCAAGTAGCACTTACAAACAGGGATATGTATGTAATACATGTTATATACACAGACACATCAGAATATATACATATTACATCTATATTATGCATATACACATACCTATATAAAAATATTCTGAAGAAATATCTACTGAATTTCTTAAAAAAATTAGGCTGGATATACAAATTCTTGAAACGAATGTTGTACTGCACTACTCATTCAGCTCACAGTTTTAAAGTTTTGTGACCCATCACAAATGCCATTGTTCCCTGATTCTGCTGCCCCATTTTTGCTCCACATGTACTACGTTCTTCTCTCAAGTGCTTTAATTAATAGTAAGGTTAAATGGCAAGCAATTATTTCTTCCTCAGCATTTGTCATCTCCCTGTCCACTGATGAAGGGACTAGGCACCCAGAAGACTGACTGGGTTTTTTTCCAAATGTTTTGGTAGATCTGATAAAAAGTCTGCTTCTGCTACAAACCTTGCTCCTTAGTATTTATCTAAGTCACAGCTGGAGGACTGGACCTTCACTGCATGTCTAACTTTATTCCACTATCTCAATTTAAAAAAGGTCTTTCAGCCTCCAAATTTCATGAAACGTGAAAACAGAAAGAGCTATTCCTAACATGGAATTCTCAGAACTTTCCTCTAATTGCTGCATTTCAGTAGACTGAAAAGCCTGAGTCATACAGTGATTAGTGAAAGAGATGCATGGAATATATCCAAGAGCTCTGCCAGGTTGGGTTATAGCTTTTCTTTAATACAAGCTTTGTGTTCACCACAATTTATTTCAAACTAGATACAAAACAATCTCAGTAAAGGCAAAGTTCAGTCATGTTTACCTGCTGCGTACAGAATATGTGCTTGACAGAGTGAAGTCCAACTGGAAAGCTTGTTAAATTGCAAGATGCACACATGCTTCCTTTTACTGATGGTAACAGAACCATAAAAGCTTGAAAATAGATAAGCTAATTGAAAACTACTATGTTTCCAATGGCAATCAAAAAAATCTGATACTCTGAACTGTAACAGTGGAAGCTTCCCTGACAGTGAAGAATGACTTTATCAGGCAACAGAATTTTATTTGAAAGATATTGTCTGGCACTGACGTTCTCAGCTTCTTTCCTTAAAATGAAGATGGCCACAATAAAAACAACAAAGTCACAGTGAAACTATATTGTGTCTCTCTAACTACCATGGTTAACAAAATATGCACTTCAGAAAGTGATTTTTCAGTCACCGTGGATTGTGCATGAAGGAAAGTTGACAACAACTGCTATAATTCTGACAACGCTAATTTAGCTAAAATATCATTAACCTTACTGTCTCCTTAGGCTAAATTCAGATCATTCTTGATAGGTTTAAAGAAAGGCAAAAATCAGATATGCACCTGCAGTTCAGTTTGGCACCCATCAAAATGAGGCAGTTCAGAGTACATGTCCTAAGGCAGATGAGGAGTATTTTTAGACAGATCAGTAGAGAGGGATTCATGGAGAATGAAGACTGCCATGAATGAAAGAATAGTTCCAACCCATCTCAGCCCCATTTCATACAGTCACAGCCCTTTTCTCCCAACAGCCACGGCACCCAGAAAACTGCCAAAATAGCCTAAATCCTAAGAGTTAGCTATACGCACTATTTGTCCAACATCAGGCAAAAGGAATTTTGCAGACCCAGGAATACGAGTTTACACTTTCCTTTGCAACACATGGTACTGTCAGACTAGACACTCGCACGAAACGCTCATCTAACACAATACACTGGCTCTTGAGCTACTGCGCCATTACCTATGTACGGGTCACGACTTCCCCTTGTGACACCTTCCTACCCACAAAGTGGGAGCCGCACTCACTCAGGTCCTACAGATACAACCTCCAGTCTTTGGGTCCAGTTTGGTAAAGTACTTAATCAACGTGAATCCACTGATTTTATGTGGAATTTTTTATTAAGTTGGGTCTACTGTGCATAGTATCTTGCAGGGTCAAACTCTAAATGCCACTTACAGGCTTGCCCTTTGAACAAGGCTGCCAAAAATGCGGGTGGCTGCTCACTGTTAGCAACATTGACTCAGTGTTGAGGTGATCTATGTCTCATCACGAAATTGGTCCCTGGAGGGAGAGTTCCCTCCTCCACACTGCTAATCTTTGTGTGACAATAATACACTCTGCAGTGGGTACTACGACTATCATTTAGGAGAAAGAGACCCAGTAGGAAACTATCCAAATGGATGAGTCAGAGAAAGGAGGTTCATTTTGATGTGGGAGACACTGTCCTCATTTAAATGAGAGAAAGTACAACCAATCACTCAAGAACAATGTGATAATATTAGGTGATTAGCCTACTGCTCTGCATATACACCATCCAGACTAGCAATATTCATCTTTAAAAATATAATTCAGGCTCCATGACAAACAAGACTAAACAGATACTAGGTTAAAAAAAAGAGGGGGAAGGTTCCCCTTCAATTTGTACAATTCAATAAATAAGAAAGCACCTTCATGACAGGTTTTAAAAATTGACCCTCAAAATTGTTAAACATAACATCACACATTGTATTAACCTTTCTGCCGAGTGTCCAGTACAGCTTTGAGCCTTACAGGCTTTCACCGCCTATCAGAATTTATTGCTACACAATGTTTATAAGATTTCCCCTTTTGTGATTCGTATAACCAACTTCTAATACTCTCCATGAATATCACATAAATCTAACGATACTGCAAGAAGTACAGCATGGTAAGCCAAACCTGAGCTTTCAGTTGCTACAGTTGTAATAGTTCAGAAATTTTGAATTTTTTTCCTGACTGGCATACCAACAACTAAATTATTACTGCGATTACTACTACCAAATGGGTGCAGGAGTAGTAGAGCACTGGCTGTGCAGGTTAGAGATTATTTCTATTCTAGAGACCTCAATGTACTGTCACATTTGTGGACAAGTCTAAATGAAGACTTCTAGACTTTAATTTTGGAAGCCTCAGAACAGCTTAAGAAAACTATTTCAGTAGTTTGTTGAGCTACAACCTGCTGAAGAGAGAATGGGTTTTGGACTGAGAGCAAAGGCACAGAGTTTGAGTGCAACTCTGTTCAAGGATGCCCCGTTCCCAACGTTTAATGCCAACAGCACAGAATTGGTATAAATGGTATAGTCATGTGTTCAGTCACACAATCATTACTTAGGCCAAATTCTTCTTTCTTCTGCATGAATACTACTGCTGATGCAAGGAGGATGATGAAAACACTAGAGCTATAGCTGTAGCAGGCAGCTGGGGACCATGTATTCTGAAATTTTTTCCAAGTATCAGTTTATATAGCATTTCAGAATTAAAATATGTAGAGGAAGAGACATCCTGTGAAAACATCAATGTTAAAGATATGTGCTGCTAGAAAGGGATATGTGTAGTGTGAAACAATATAAAGAATCGCCTATTTCCATACTTGGAGTCAGACTTGCATCTGCCTTGAATTCTACCATAAATTGCAGATGTCATTTAGCAATAAGCTCAAGACACGCAGTAGTACAAGAAGAATTTTGCACAAGTGATCATGTAATATCTGACAAAATGACAGCTAAAGGGCATCATTAGTGCTTTTCATAATAAGATTACTTATATGGTACTTTCACATTTTGATGTATACACCTATGAAATTGTCATGACTTTTTCATTTATGCTACTTCAATATTTTAAAGAAATCTTCATACATATGAGGCTTACAGCCATTTTCTTTTCAGCATCAAGTACTGACTGTTGCTATGGAAACAGACGTATTCCCCCCAAATACTTACATTTCTTCTACTTTTGCTGCTCTAATCATCTAAACTGCAAGTGATTCATACAGAAAAACACCTTTGGCCTTTTTCTCGGAAAATGTGATACATTTCATCTTCTTACCACTTACACCTGCTTAAGTCCACAGAAGTAATAGTGTTGCTCCAAATTTAAATATTGTAAGCTGGGTGACAGGCACACAATTTAAAATTCTTTTATAATTCAGTACATCTTTGTCTTACTTTTTACTTTAAAAAAAAACACATTCTGCAACCAGAAGGGAAAACACATTTTACTTAATGTTGAAAATCATGAGACTTATACTCACTTTCCAATTGCATTTGGCAGAATTGTAAGCTGATTGTCATCTACTTTTAAAGTTGTAAGCCTTTTCAACAGCCCTACAAAACAGGTGAGGAAGAAGTAATAGAAAAATATTTCATATTAATCTTTCTTACTTTCTGTAATCCTTAAACAAACAATGATTTCTAACATTGAATAACTTTGATCTAGATTTTAGAAAACATCTGTGTACAGGAGAGTACACAGGCACATTCTTCTCTCATAGAAAATATTTTTCATCAAAATGAAGCACTGATTAAATGTTAAGCTGAACTGCAAGTACAATATTAAGTGTATTTCTGAAATATTGAAAAAAAGGGTTAAAAAAAAAAAGAATAGTACCTATCTGCATAGGAAGAGCAGTATTTCTACTTATCTAATAATGTTTCAATTGAATTCCATTCCTGTTGCCTTGATTAAAAGGTGCTCAGGTCATAATAAGACATTAGGTGAATTATCTAAAGTAAATGCTACATTTATAAAGCTTCACAGTATGTAGGTATAGACAGAAAACCAGCATCAGACTGAAAACCAGAATGAAACCTGAATGCATTTGTATATGCAGTTAATTCTTACCATTTACTATACATCTAAGTGTAAGCAGATGCATAACTGGGTAACATCTACCAAGAATGGAATGAAACTTCTGCTTTACCAGTGCGTAACAGCAGAAAACAATAAAAAAGTAAAGACAGAACAAATGGGAAAAATATGTCTTAGAGTGCTAGAAACAAAGCTTGAAAGAGATTTCCACCTTCTGCAAGTTATTAAAATTTCAAAATATGTTTTTTCCTTGAAAGATTCTGAATATATTGAAATAGCATTTTTTAAATGATTATTTGTAATTAATGCCTGCAATAATATGAATTAATCACTAATACAGAGAAAGATGTTAACTGAATATGCCATAACATGAAAGCTGAAGCAAATTAAAAGTGTATTTAAAAGGGATACTAGAAACACTACTCATTTCAATTGCAGAACATTTTTGTTGAAAACTTTTTCAGAATCCACATGATCCAAGAAACATCTAGGTTTCAACAAAATTTTCTTTTAAGAGGAAAAAATTCCACCAAAACAAATTCCAACAAGCTCTCATCTGGAAATGCAGCATTAAAATGACTCCTTTCGCTTTACTTCTGTTAAATCTATTACCATTCAGTAACAGGAATTTGGAAATGAGAATTTAATATATCTAATTGCAAGAATGTATAATTCAAAATGTAAACATGTATTCCTTTTGTACAGGAGCTAAATGCCCTCTAAAAATCAATCTGCATATGTGTATCAGAAAACCACAAAAAGCAAAAATTCTAGTATTTATGGTGAGATGTAGAAGACCAAAATGGAAAACAGCTGTAAACGGCATCTAGTAACATTCACGTAGCACAGTATTCTTAGTTAGCAATACATTTTGGAGTTTTGACTGAGTTGATTTAAAATTGGGGAATTTAACACTTTCATGTTCAAAGGGACACACTTAGGAAAGTGAAAAAGATGATGATAAAGATGTCCCTGCTCATTGCAGGGGGGTTGGACTAGGTCAACCAACCTTTAAAGGTCCCTTCCAACCCGAACTAGTCTATGATTCTGTGATTCTATGATGATATAGCAGGCTCATCAGCTGGAAGCAACAGAAGAGAGGAAAGACCTCAATGTTTCCCAAGAAAATATAATTCAAGACTGAAATTAATTACCCAGATGTATAGAGTGATATACCTACAACCACTTAGCTTCCAGAATTTCTATATATTCTGAATAATTCAGAAATTTTATGCATGCGATATAGTCAAAAAAGAAAATTAATAGTTTGAACTATGTCTTTGTTTAATGCTCTCATATGGAATTGCACTTCTGTAACTAAGAATTGCAATTTCCTTCAAGGGTTTAACATGGTTAACATAATCACCGTTACACTTACTTTCAAATTTAGATCAGATCACTTATACCTTTCTTTGCTTATTTTCTTTAAAATAGTGAATCAGAATAATCAATACCTTCTAATCATGGACTTTTTTCCTGACTTTACAAAATGGTCTTCATGGACTGCCCAGACACAGATACTTCAAAACCCTTTGGAATTTAATGGCAGATCTTGTTCCAGCTATTATAAAGTCTCATCATTACCAAAGAAAGATATAAATGAAATCCTCAAATGTAAAAGATTACAAGAAATTCTGAGCTTTTCTTACCTATGGAGTCTGGCAGTTGCTGCAACATATTGGATGACAACAGGAGATCTTCAAGTCCTTCACATCCTGATATGTCCAAATCAACAGTTTCTATCCTGTTTTTTGACACGTCCAGGTACACGAGCTGTTTTAACTTCCCTATAGACTTAATAGCACGTTACAAAGTGTTACTTGAACAGATACACACCGCATGCCAGTTTCTAAGTTTAATTAAAGACAAACAATAGTAATACAGGCTTATGTTCAGTTACCTCAGCATCCTTTTTACAAGAGTTATTTCACTGAAGCAGTACCAGAAGTGGTTGAACAGCCTTCCTGTTCAGACAACTGCAAAAGGAACTGTACCAAACTAAAGGACACATATCAAACTAATTAATGTGTTCCAGGTTCAGTAAATCTGCTAAAACTTTGAGTTCTCAGTCATACACCTGTATTATTTCTTCAGTTGGACACAGATCCAAGGGACATTTACTCACAATTCGCATCTACTCATAATGGCAGTCCTTAAGGTCCCTTTAGACATGCAGGTAAAGCTTTTCTGTGCCAAACTGATCCTCTGAATTTTATAACATCTCAAATTAGACTTTAGATACTCATAGTTCAATTATGAGTGCTTAACCCCAATCATACACTTTTATGATTACAGTATTTAACTGCAGCTGTAACATCAGTGAGCAACATGACAGGAATTCTTCCCTAATTTCTTGCAAAATCTACGTAGCATGTAGAATTTGAAGCCTGCAGAAGCAACCTGCTTCTTTATCCATTATCACAAGATGGTCATTTCATTCTAGATGTGAAACTTCACCATGCAAATCAACAAAAGAGACGCTGCTGTTTTCCTTAAACTAAAGCCTACAAGCGGAACAGCAAAGAGGTGCCGCTGCTGGGTCTAGGGTAAACGAGCCGGATCTATGTGCCAGTGGCAGAGCTACGACACAGACCGGAGGGTTACACAGTGGGATGCAACAAGGCAGCGCAACACCGGTACGGAGAGCTACCATGTGGTTGCAATACTGTGCATCCACAGAAATACTGTTTCAAACCAGATGAAAAAATGTTCATGGCCTATGAAGGAACTTCCTTCATAGATTTTGGGAAAGCCATGGGAATCACTTGTGAAGTCTATGATTTGCATAAAAGTTCATGGGAGTGGGTTTTTTAGTTATTTACATATACTTTTTGTGGTTATTTACTATACACATGAAAAAGGAAAATGCTTTCAGATAGCTTCACCCACAGGTACTTTCCAAACAATATGAATATAACTTGCTTTTCACCTCTTACCTTGCTGGGATGTGCTCTGTGTTTCTAAGGAGGCAGTTTCATGTTATCTTTAATCATACCTGTCGTGTTGTATAAAGGGAAAACCTCCCTTTCACCCCAGCCTTTGCCAATCTACTCATGTTAATAGTTGAACACAATCTTTGTTTCTAGCACAGACTACTTTTTTTAAAAATTGAATTATTAACATTGGAAACCTGGCAAATCTCTAAATCTTAAAATCAATTACCAGTTGGTATTTTCTTTCTATTTTTAAAAGTCAAAATTTAAAGCTAATATTAACTGGTTTAAACCCCTTGGTTTGGAGAAGGCTTTCATCATCTTGGATCTACTAGAATCAGATTCAGGAGACATGAATTATTCACTGTAAATAATTATGCTCCTTGGGATTCAGTTCCATGATCTACTGAACATCTTCAATTCTAAATACCCTCTCCAGGGATTATGAGTTTGGAACACATTTTAGCACTGGATATATTAAACAATTTCATTGTGAACAGAAAAGAGACAGAATAATCGTTAAAATGTTTGTGCCCACACTCTTGTATATCTGGTATTTCTTCTGTTCAGTTACACTGCAGCAACAATACTGCAATATTTCTGTTCTTGGCCTCCAGCTGGTTTCAGTATCAAGAACTGATTTCCACATCAGTTTTTCTTTCCACTAACAAAGCACTCAAAAAGTGGGTATTTGGACAGTGACTGAAAATGATCATTTTCTGTGCAAACAGCCTGCTTAACACAAAATAAAAAATGAATGTAATCTATTTTAAAGACAAAAAAGCATAATTGCTCAATGCAAAAAATTGAATACTGATTAATAAATGTTGAAAGCTGAAAGAGGAAGTACTTCTTCCAACACCTAGACATGTCTGTGCTAGATTTAGCTCTGTATTTTCCCTGCAGCAATGAAAAGCATTACTGTGTGAAACATATGATGAAATGCTAATGACGGGGATCCCTTTCTCCAATCATAATCAGTGTAGGTATTTTAGAGTGATAATCTCAAATATTTTATGGCCATAAAAATCTTCGAAAACCAAAATTCTAATGTGGGGTAGCAACAACTCAGAACAGCACTAATCTGTGACCATGACCCTAATGTATAGATTTTAAAATATTTTTTGTTGCATTTCTAAATGGAGTGCTTTCTAGCGGAATATATCTGTATTCCACTGCTTCAGAATTGCTTTTAGTATAGTTGAATCTATAACACACCATCTTCTACTTTTAAATTTACTTAGATTATTTAGTATTTCCTATTCCTTTTTTAAAACTCGCATATGTTTTTATAAAACTGATAGTTAATGCATGGTGACTGAGGAGACAATAGGAAATAATTTCTCCTCACAATGAAAACTACACAATGCTTAAATAGAACAGGCACATACCCATTTAGACACTATCATGTAATAACATTTAAAAAGCTTTCATATGAATGGCTACGCTGAGACTTTTATTTCTTGATAATAATTAATGACTATGTGAACAAGGAATATGTACCCATTCAAGAAAATGCACATGCATTTACCTACTGCAAGGAAAATACTTCACTATATCACACAATGATTTGATTACATAAAATAAATGTTCATACCCCAGGTAGCATTTGCAAAGAATTATTGTCCATCCACAATTCCTTTAGATTTTGTATTTGTTCAAGAACCTCAGGCTGAGGAAAAGAATATAGTATTATGGTCAGTTAAATAAATCAGTATATTTAGTTAAATATAAGTCAATATTCTCTTAAAAAAAAAATCCCTCTTCACTGACATGACATGAACAGTATGCTCCTTTCATTTAACACTGTTGCTCTTCTTCAAAACTTGTAAAATTTAAGAACCCTTTGGAAAAGAAATGAATACAAAGAAGAACTCCTTAGAAGTTCTTGTTCTAAACAGTCTGGCGTCAGTAAGCAGTTTATGAACAAGGCAAAAAGTAGAAGTGAGAACCGTGGAGCTTCAGAAACAATGCATTGAAAAGAAAGACCAAATCTTATCTTGCAGCACATGCTAAACTCTGCCGTTTGCATGATTTATGGTGTTAAAAATAGCTTAATGGAGGCATATTGCTGAACACTTCCCTGGATATACCACACTTATGTACGATTTAATGTCTGCAATTGTCATATTCAGTAGTTAAAATAGTATACAATGATCAAGCCTTAAAATCACAGTATTAAGCTTTAATCTAAGATGTTCTATTCTTTTCAATACTGTAGGATATTAGTGAACTGAAAAAGGCAACTCCCTACATAATTTCTCATTTGTTACAGCTGTGAAAATCAAGAATTATCAGGTCACAAATATTTCCATGTTTCAGCCTAAGCAGTATTTTTCTTTTTAATGAAACACTATTTTCACAAAACACTATCTTCACAGGTAAAATAAGGCTTTCAATTTGCCTTAGTTCTGTAAAGTTGTAGAGATTTTTTTCACAGTCTGCCAGAAACTGATATTAAATATTTCATTTTGGTTCTAACTAAATCATTCTAGCATTTTAAAGGTCTGTAGTACTATTTCACTGGAATTATTTCAACACAACTAGAAACAAATGTATCTGTGTGGCATCACAGGACCTGAAGAGAGACATCTAATTATCCCCTGTGATCTAAGGTCCTTGGTATGTTGTAATTCCCATAAGAAATATGATTTTCCAGTTGCCCAGGTCAGATGGTACATTATGGGAGAAGCTCCCAATGCATTACTGCATAAGAAAGAACCTGCTTATCTGGAGCGGTCAATCCCTCAGTTTTCCATGTTGTCACATAATGTGTTTCTATTAAAAATTGATTAGTCAATATTATGAAGATAATTTATTTTGCCTTGGCTAATTCTATTGAAATCTTGTTGTCCTTCAATGGTTAAAACCACTTCCAATTTCCAGGCTAAATTAATTAATGGTAATTTTGTATTATTTGTTCCTGTGATGATTAATGGTTCTTTATTCCTCCAGAGTGTTCACTGACTAAGGTATTACAGATAATCATAATTTCCCCTTGCAACTTTCATTTTCTTTTAAATTCCTCTCATTAGACAGATGCCCTTCTCAAAGGCAACAGCCTACTGCTATGTTGTACATATTACAGTTTGATTTGAAATTTCTTGAGTATGGATTATGGCATACCATAATTCAGATGAGATCTCAGTGATGTTTTGATAAGTGGTATTAAAAGCTTCTTATTTGTCTCTGATAGAAATGCTTCTGCTGATGCGTTTTTGGAGAGTATTTTCATTTTCCATGTAGATTGCCACAATTAGACTAGACTAGACTAGTTGGAAGGGACCTACAACCACCATCCAGTCCAACTGCCTGACCACTTTGGGGCTGACCCAAAACTTAAAAGATATTATCAAGGGCATTGTCCAAATGCCTTTTAAACAGTGACAGGCTTGGGGCATCGACCACCTCTCTAGGAAGCCTGTTCCAGGGTTTGACCACCCTCTCGGTAAAGAAATGTTTCCTAACATCAGATCTGAATTGAAGACCGACATTAATCTTTGGTAAAAGTATATTACATTTTATCTTCTTTCCTCTTCCTTTTCTCCCCATCTTTAACTATTTTCTTTCAAAATTTCTTCTAAAGCCTTGCTGCTGACCCCGGACTCCTAAAACTCTGGAAAGAACTACACCAGCCTTGCCCCTCCTTTCAGGCAGAGGTACTACAATTGATTTGTCCAGTGCTGTTTTTTGACACTTCAAAGATTGAGAGATTTCAAATCCTTGACCCATACCTTGTGATTTAATGCTCCAGTTTTCCCAGAGGCCTGTGACACAGATTACCTATTCCCTTCCTTGATTACATTAAGTCTCTTGAATACGGCCGCTATTTAGGAAGTGACAATTTCTATTTTAGGAACACATACCAATGTCCTTATTTGTATAGTCTTGTTTCCAGAAAACGAATGAACAGAATTACTTCACTTTTTTCTTAACCCCATGCCTGTATGAAGAGCAGTCTCCCAGTACAAAGGGAGGGACTTCAGTAGTCCAGGGATGGACTGTCAAAGAAATTCAGCTCTTCCACACCACCACAGTTCTAGGTAGTATTTTTCTCCAATATCAAGGAACCCAAATCAGATTTTCAGAATCCCTGAAAACAGCACCTTTCAGTCCTTTGTTCCAGGTCATCTTGATTTAAACTAGTACCACTTTTCCTATGACACTTCTGCAGATTCATTCTGTTCCCTTGTCTCTTGGCCCATTTTGCTTCTGGCACTTGATTCTAGTTCATACATTTTTGGACCAGCTTCCTGAAAAATGAGTCAACTCAGGAAGTTTGGTTCTATTAGCAGTATGGATAATGACTTCTGCTTTATCATTCTTAAGGGACACTATCCTACAATGCAAAAATGCAGAATGATGTCAAAGTCATTCTTCTAAAACATCTAAAACAGACTACAAAACCTACCAAAGCATATATATATTTCTTTTGATCAAAATTCCAAATACCACTTCTGAAAACTTTATTCTATTTATCTATGCAAAAAATTTCTTGTTTTAATCAAAAAACTGAGTTAAAACCATCTATTTTCTCCTACATAATAGTATAAAATTAGTAAACATTAACAGGGTTATAACTATAATGGTAGAAGACAGTGCACTGTCTATAAACCGGATGTAGACTCCTTGCTACAGCTTTCTACTACTCGATGACATTTCAAAATTTATTTAAAGAGAAATTATCTTAATTTTAATTAAAGCTACAGGAAAAAATCATCCTCATAAAATTGTAAGCCCTGATTCAGCAGCACTGTTTTTACAGATAGTTCTTCTATGACT